GACATTGATGATTTCCAGCACAGTAAGAATTATTTAGAAACCAGCTCCTTTCTGGTTACTTTCTGTTACTGATGTCTGCCCTGAAGTATAAACCTTCGTAGGGTGATGCCAGAGACCAGATTCCCAGCCACCTTTCCCCTCTCACGTGCTCTTGCTCAGTTCTAATGACCTCTGTAGCCTCCAGCAAATGAATCCACTAGTATGTATGACAGTGTACTCACTGCATTTCCTTTCTTGTGAGATTATCTGTAAAGCTCCGTTCCTGGTACCCTAGGGAGATCCTCAAAGGTAAGGGCCAGCTGGATTTGGCAAGTGCAGACTTCAGTCTCTAACTTCCATGAAAGGCCATCTAGTCACTGCTCTTGTGAGCTTCCAGACTGAAGCTTAGTGTTGCTCTTGATGTTCCAGCATTGACTGACATTCTACTGCTCTGCTTCAGGCACAGTGCGGGCAGCTTCACACATGTATCTCATACTCACTGAGAATTGCTACTTGCTAGTATTCCTCCCAATTAGTTATTAGGAATCAGTTAATTGTTCATATTTCTATTTTCCTGATGAGAAATCCAAGGCTTTGAGAGGTCATCTGGGGAGTGAGAGCTAGGACCTAAACTTAGAAATGTTAGGCTGCTGCTTCTACTCTGTGTTGTTATAAAGAGTATTTCCTTTATATCTGGGGCTTTTTATTGTTTTCAGAAAGATAGTTGGGGCTTGGGACCAGCAGTTAGCATAATGGCTATGTCACTGGACTCCCACGTAGTTGACCGCGGTTTGTGTCCTAGATCCGGTGGCTTAGACTCACGCCAGGCGCATGAGCGTGCGTGCCCAAGACCCCGAGAGGAGAATGGAGGAGAAAGGATTGCGGTGCGGCCGTCCCTCCTGGGGGGTGATTTCTCGCTTTCTATCTCTCTGTCTCTCTCTCTCTCTCTGTTTGGCGAGCGCACACGCCCTATAGCAAAAACCTCTAAAAGAAAGAAAGAAAGAAAGAAAGAAAGAAAGATAGTGGGGCTGGGTCTATAGCCTAGTGATTAGTTAAGGGAGCTGGATACCCCCCCGCCCCCACATGACAGATAACATGGTTTGAGTCCCAGACCCTTTGACTTGAGAAAACACCAGGTGCACATGCGAATGTGCCCAAAATTCCAAAAGGAGGGCGAAATGAAGGAGAAGGATTTGCAGAGTGACCACATCCAAGTGGGAAGTATGTTTTTTTCAACCTCTTTTCCTTTCTCTCTGTGGGTCTGTTGAAGGCTCATGCCCTCTGGCTTATAAACAATCAGAAAGACAGTATGCAAGCCCAAGGAGCACTTGACTCAGGGAGCTTTCTCAAATAGAATATAAATGGCTGTGGGAAAACAATATGGAGAAAGGATGCTGAAGACACACCTAAGATGGGCAGGGGTGTCACTTTGCCCCTCATAGCAAGTGCAGTTGTTTGATCTTGCAGGGCATCTTCAGAGCAGTGCTATACAGGTGACTGTATTTTAGGGCTCCTTTTAGAAGGGGGAAGGAAAGGAACTTATTCATTGGCTTCTCTTTCCCCTTGTTTGGTTGTCTTTCCCTTTGGCCAAATTGTGCTTTAAGGGGCATTAGTTCTCCTGCACTTCCAGTTTTTGTACAAGCCTAGAAGTGGTCAGCTGACCATCTCACACCTCATTAACAATCTGTACCTCAGTAGCAATAGAGAAATTCCGTTGGGAGGCAAGAGGGGCATGCTGTGCCTATGGGTGTCATGAGGGGCAATGGTAGTGACATCAGCAGTGAGACCTGAGTCTGCAGTTGTGGAGGCAGCACAAGCCATATTAGATCTGCTCAGCTCAGCAGCAGGCTGATGTACAGATCTGGGTGATAGATGATCTGGATCCAGTCACACCAGAGCACTGTAAGGTCAGTGCAGCTTGGCCCTGGACTTGTTTATGCTGCCAGGAAAGTTCTTGGCTGTCAAAGAAATAGTCAGCTTCCTCTTCCAGTTTCCAGGGTTGACCATTTCCTCTGAGGGATCTCTCGTGTGGGTGGAGTCCAGCTGCGTGTTCTTTCTGATTGCTAGGGCGGGGTCCAGATAATGCTACAATAGTGAGATGCTTCTTACAGAAAGAGGCAGAGACTATTCTCAGGACAGTTGATGACTGTGGGGTTGATTGAGTATGAGGGTTCCATGGCTCTGGAAAGCAGATGGACCCTGCTCAGAACCTGAGGCCTAGTCCAATCTGTTGACTTGTTATGTGAGGCCAGGTACTACCTTTTAGGCCATGCCACATCTCCACCTTATCCACCAGTAGATGGACTTCTCAGTACCCTCCTGGCCTGGGTATGAATGAGGATCATTTGTCTTCCTAAACACCTGTTGGAAACACTTCTTTGACTTGGCTTTAATGTGTTCTTGTTTGGGATGATCTTGTACCGACCACAGCACCGCTACCTCCAGGCCAGCCCAACCCAGAGCATGCATGTTGAAGATCCCAAAGACAGAGTTCTAGGACACCTTCTCTTCAGTAGTGAAGTTTAGATGATGTCAAACAATGCATTTCAAGTTCTAGAGTGGCAGTCTTTGTTGGTATATTTCAGTTGGTGTAACTCACCAGTATTTAGAATTATTCCGTGTAATTCAATTACACCAAAGTTCTCCAACTTGACTCATCTATCAGCTGACTTTAGGAGGGTGAGGCTTGATCTGGACTCCATCGAGGTTAAAGCATTTAAGTGACTTTTTTGACTTCAGACCCCATAGTGACCTCCCTTAACCCAGTTTATTTCTATATAGTAAAAAATAGGCATCATCCAATTGCAAGTATGGAAACCTTCATGAATGCAAACATTCTTGTAATTGGTACCAGTCAGTAAACCAGAAACCTTGCTAAGCTGTAGGAATTAGTTACTTTAAAGTGACAATTTGGATATAATTCCCTGGGGTATGGGGTGTTTGGTATGGTGTGGGGTTAGTTCGAGTCCCCTGTGACCACTGGCCTGCTCAGTCTAGTGCCCCTCTCTATGCTCATTTGCGTGCCTCACCTCCTAGTCAGGCTCATTTTGCAGGAGGAGGCAGGGCGCCAGCCTCCCTGTGCTGCAGAGTTGGAGCCTCAGCCTTGCTTTGGGAAAGGAAGTAGACTTTGTGACAAAAGGGCTATTCTGGTGACTTCCTCAGAGCAAAGTGGGTCTGGTAGAAGAGACCTTTTTTTTACTGCTAAAATATAGCAACTGCTGGCAATCTTCAAATGGTAATCATTCACAAAATGGAAAAATGTGAGCACCCTTTCACCAGTCACACTATTGAAGATGAAAGCAGCTCATTTCAGAGCACAGCCATACCCTTCTGACCGTGTCACCAACTAAAGTCAAGTTCCTGGGACCTTTCCTAATTGCAGGAATTGAGAATCCTGACTCCTGCCTTCAGCTCCTCCCATCCAAGCCCATCCTTACCTTATACATTGGGGTCCTGCTGACAGCCTACCGCCCTCATCCTAGTAGGAGGAAAAAGCCTAGATTTCTCAACCACAGGAGAAGAGCCATCACATAATGCTTGGGGGCACACTGGTCTCACCAGAAAACCTATTAGGCAGACCTTCTAGGTCCTGCCTCACCCAGCTATTCAGGGATCATGGTTGGTTCAGGTATGTGTGATACCTGGTTCTACAGTCACTTTGACATGTCAGATCCCACATAAAAATGGGCCTCCACAACCACTATACCATCCCTGAACTCATTTCTGAGCTGGTTGCCTAGACCTAATTTACATTCAGTATTATTCTTTTCACAGATTCTTCCCTGGTTCTGACCTAGAGGCTGACTGACTTTTCTATCTACAGCCCAGACTCAGCCCTCAGTCCTAACGTCTTACATAGTCTTTCTGGCAATAACCTGTGCATCCCTTTGACAATAGTTCAGGGCCTTTTTTAGCCAAACAACTTCTGACTATTCTATTTACAAATATGCCAAATCCTCCAGGTCTGTCCATCCTTGGTGTGACTTTTTAAGAACACCGTCCTAGGCAGACTTGCCTTTATGTGTTTGGGATAGCCTCAATGTAAGACACGAAGGTGGAATACAGTAAGGAGAAAAGGAGCTAGCAGCGGGAGGAAGAAGCACATTCCTTTATGAATCCTTAGTGCCATTGGTGCAGATGTTAAAATGAGTACCAATCACTTTACCCCTGTGAGTTTTATATTTGCTTAATTTAAAAGAATAACGGTAAGTGATATATGAATCTCTTGAGCCTACATGAGCCTGTTTGGAGCATTGATAATGATGGTCTATAGTCCAACTTAAAATACCTTTATTATTCTATCCACCAGTGAGCATTTTTTTGACAAGTAGTTCTATTTTTATATTTCAATTATTCAGCGAATACTCAGATTTATTGATATTGGTGAAGTTTGGAAACACCTTAATAACTAATTCTTTAGTTGACTTTAGAACTTTATTAATTGGCAGATTCCTTCTGACAGTTATTTACTTCATAGAAATTTTAGTTTAACAATATGGAAGATTTTTTTTTAATTTTTATTTTTTGAAAGAATTATTTATTTAACTTTGTTTGTTTGAAAAATTTTTTTGAGAGGTTTTTGCCATAGGGCACGTGTGCTTGCCAGACAGACAGAGAGACAGAAAGCGAGAAATCATCCCCCCGGGGGATGGCCATGCCACAATCCCTTCTCCTTCATTCTCCTTTCAGGATCTTGGGCACGCACACACACGTGCCCAGCGTGAGTTTCAAGCCACCAGGTCCAGGACTCGAATCGTGGTCGACTACATGGGAGGCCAGTGACATAGCCATTACGCTAACTGCTGGCCCCTGTTTGTTTAAATTTAAACAGAGAGGGACAAAGAGAGAAAGAGAAAGTGAGAAAACAAGCCGCTAGGTCTGGGACTCAAACCATGGTCAGCCATGCAGGAGTCTAGTGCCATTAACCACCATACCACATGGTGGCCCCAACAATATGGTGCGTTTATTTTGGGGTTCCTTTTCAGTTCATTCCCTTCTTATTTAGGAAATCACCCTTATCCATGGCCCTACCAGAAGTGCCAGCTTGGGTTGCTATGTTTATACCATATGACCTTCACCATAGGCGACGGGGTCAGTTGTGGACACCTAAACCTAACATAGCAGGGCTATCGACTCAGTCAATGACTAACAAGGTATCTTGGCTAAAAATGTAAGTTAAAGGACAGAGTGACAATAGTCATTCATTGGTGGGTGCTATAGACTTTGCAGGTACAGGTTGAATGAGGAGGGTCAGTTCATGCTGGATAGGTAAGCTGAGGCTGTGAAAGCAGAACCGTTAACAAGCAAAGAAAGCTGACTACAGGGGAGAGGATGACCAGGCGAGCAGTGAATGAAGAGACCACAGGGACTCAGAAAGAGCATGAGGAAGCACATGACTGATTTCTGGTGGCCTTTCAGTTTCAGACCCCCAAAAGCTTTTCTGTTATTTTATTTTCTGTGAGTTGGCGTCCATGAAATGACCTCTTAGATCCTCCAACAATCCTTACCTCTACCACCTCTTATTCTTTTTTTTTTTTATAATTATTTATTTTATTTTATTCATTCATTTCTTAATTTGACTAGAGAGAGATAGAGATTGAGAGTGAGAGAGAGAGAGAGAGGAAGTAAGAAAGCAAGCCACCAGATTCAGGACTTGAACCCTGGTCAGCCATGTGGGAGTATCCAGCACCTTAACCACCACACCACCTGCTGGTCCCCTCACCACCTCTTTTTCTTGAGATAAAGGTTTCTGTTCCTTATAACCCAAACCCTTCACTAAAACAAACTACCACTCAGGTGTTGCCAGCTGTGGTTGCAATAGAGAGTTGTAAACTTCTATCTTAAGCAGAGGGTGGAATGTTTTGCTTATTTTGAAGTAGAACTAGGTGTCACAGAAAGCTATTTAAATCCATGCTCTCATGGTTAATCACTTTGGACAATCTGACTTTCCACCCTTTTCTTACTCGTGATAATGGTATTGGCTTTTAGCAAAGGTCTTTAAGAACTCTGTTTGGAAGAGAAAACAACGAAACACCTCACATAAGCCTACTTCAAAGGACAAGATTACCTCTGCTGGTTTATAGTGGTGGACTTTCTGATTATCTGCACCAGAGATGTGATCTTGATTGCCTTGTCAACAATTCCATTGCCCAAATAACTGGAGATTTTTATGACTGGGGAAACTCCAGATACATAGCAAATGAGCAGAGGCAGGGAAGGGTGAGGATTTCATCTGCAGCAATTATGAATTGCACTCCTCATCAGATTTAGCTTCTATACCAAACTGGCATTTATCTGGGTGGAGAAGAGTAAACACGGGCACCCTGGGAAAGGAGCTGTAGCTGTCTTTTTTTTTTTCTAATGAGCTGAAAGAGAAGGCACTGTGTAAATTAGCATAAAACCCTAGGCTAGTCTGGGTAATTAAATTCAAAGTTAAATACTCTAATATTCTGCAGGAAGAGTTTTTTGTATCTGAGAGAATAGGCAGAAGAAATGAAAATCAGTTGAGAAAAACACTTAGAAGATGGTAGACGGAGAACAGAGGCAGTGTACTCTAGTGGTTAGGCACATAGGCCCGGGACCCAGATTACCTGGATTCAGATTCCAAGTTCACCACTTAGTAGCAGTGTGACCATAGATGGGTTACTTAATTTCTCAGTACCTTGGTTTATCCATCTATAATAGAAGAGTAACAGTACCTACCTTACAGATTTGTGGCAAAAATTAAAGGAATGGATGCATTTAGTATGCATAGAACAGTGTCTGTCCTATGAGTAGATAATAAATGCTAGTTATTATTATTCTCAGGCATTGCCTTGTGGGCCAACACGTTCAGCAAGATGCATGAGAACTGATACCACAAGTGTATTTTTTTCCTGAAGAAAAAAATCTGATACATTTACTCTTTGGCTATGGAATGTGTCTGTTGGCTAAAACAAGAAAGAATATTCATAAAGGGCTACTAAAAGGCAGATGAAGAGAGAGTCTTTCATATAAGGAGAGAAATTAGACTGGGCTCTGATCTGGAAAAATGAAGGCTTAGATGCACTATGCTGACTTTTATGAAGAACAGGAATAGTTTGAAAAATAACTTGTTTATGAATTACTGGGAAATTAAAACTGGCACAGAAGATGAATACTTTGAGGTGAATACTTGAACAGATGGTTCCTTGACTCTGCCTGCACAGCAAGTGTTTCAGTTATGGAGCTTATTAGCACAGGAGTTTTGAGAATGATCTGGATGATGATCCCTTAACTATCAAGAGTAGTTAGAGATGTTTGTGAGAGAACCCTAGTTGAGTTCAGGTCAGCATCTGAAAATAACTTATAGTAATGTAGAATTTAGACATTTACTTTAAGCATTCTTAACTTATTTGATGATCACAGTTGTAATTTACTGAGCTTTTACTGTGGGCAAGTTTGCTAGGAATCAGAAGATGAGAAAGATGAGTTATGTCAAAGTTTCTGATTTGCATTGCCACCAAGAAACATTGCAATTACATTAGTTTAATTCTAGGGATTAATGTATTTGATTCACTTTTGCATGTAATGTTTGTAAACCAAGGAATTTTTAGTTGTTTTACAAGAGTTTAAAATTGGTATTGTGAAGAAGCTAAAGAAATAGACGTTGTCTTTTTGTTATTGTTATTATTATTATAATAATTCTACCCAAGCTATACTGTTGTGTCAGAGAATGGTTTCTTCTTTTATTTGTTTTTATTTTTAGTGCCATTGTTCAAAAAAGCAACTAAGTTAATTTAGAGAAGATCTTCAATTCCTCATTTTACAGCTAAAGGAGATGGGACCAGGGGAACTTAAGTGGCATGGTCCACGTGGCAGGGCTTGGATGGAAGGCCAGGTTCCTATCAAGCCGCTTTCCCTAAAAGGATCAGCATAATTGTAGTCCAGCTTATTTCCGTGTACACACAGGCTGAATGTGTGGTGTTTTTTCTCAGAATACACAGAAGCAGATTTACTATGAAGCCAGTGAAGCTTTAGCTTCAGGGCCCCTCACTTAAGTGAGCCTTGGAGAAGAGAGAGGAAGCTAGGTTGTAATCAGCAAACATTTCTCTATGCACATTTCCTTTTCTTTTTTTCTCTTCCTTCCTTTTCTTTTCTTTTCTTTTCTTTTCTTTTCTTTTCTTTTCTTTTCTTTTCTTTTCTTTTCTTTTCTTTTCTTTTCTTTTCTTTTCTTTTCTTTTCTTTTCTTTTCTTTTCTTTTCTTTTCTTTTCTTTTCTTTTCTTTTCTTTTCCTTCCCTTCCCTTTCCTTTCCTTTCCTTTCCTTTCCTTTCCTTCTTTCTTTTGAGAGACATGATTTGTGCTATAGGGTGTGTGTGCCAGAGAGACAGAGAGAAAGCAAGAAATCACTCCCAGGAGGATGGCTACACCACAGTATCTTCTTCTCCATTATCCTCTTGGGATTTGGGGCATGCACGCACACACACATGCCCTGTGTGAGTTTTAAGCCACTGGGTCTGGGGCTCAAACCACGGTCGACTATGTGAGCGTCTAGTGACGTAACTGTTAGACCATCTGCCGGTCCCTCTATATGCACATTTCTGCTCAGTGACCTAAGGAAATATTGTAAGAGATAGACTTGATTTTCTAAGTCTTCAATGATTTTTTTGTGATCTTTTTCACATTCTAAAGAAAAAAAGGAAAAAGAAAAATTCTCTTTTGTACCTAACTTTGTATTTTTGATTTTGTATCATTTTTTAATTATAGATACTCATTTTTTAAAATTAATTTTTATTAAAATTTTATATACATTTAAATTACTTTAAATTTTTTATAGTAATAAAATAGAGAAAAGGTTGTGTTAAATTATTTAAAACAAAATGACAGCTCTTTGCCCCTGTCTTCTCTGCATCCTGGTATACTCTCCAGAATCAATCGCTTTAATTCCTGTTTTCCCATGTTTACCTCTACATTATTTTTACTAACTTGTTTCCTCATTTGATTAGTTTTAGACATTACATTGGGTTCCTGTAATGGTAGCTAAGGATTTAACTTTTTACTACAAACACCCTTTTCTTCTTTTTCCTAGGATAGTTAAATCACAGATTTTGATGACCTTAATTATCAAATGTTGATTTTGTAAATATTATCCACAGAAGAAACAAGTAGTATCTTCTTCTGTCTTTACTTGTATAACTTTTCATTTGTACTAGAGTTAATAATGATCTTACTTTTCTTTTGCTTAGTTTTCTATGTCTCTGAATGCATGGCCTTTCCTTTCTTTTTGTATAACTTTTCATTTTCTAAGAGTTCATAATTGCTTTGTTTTTCCTTTTGCTTTATTTCCTGTATATCTAGCCAAATATATCATCAGAGCTGCCATTCATTTATGCTATCAATATTATTTGGGGCTGGGACCAGCAAATGGCATAGTTGTTATGTTGATGGACTCTTACATGGCCAACCATGGTTTGAGTCCTAGACCTGGTGGTTTGAAAATAACACTGGGCATGTGTGTGTGTGCATATCCAAGATCCCGGGAGGAGAACAGAGGAGAAGTGATTGCAGCATGGCCATCTGTCTGGGGGGAAGATTTCCTTCCTTTTTTCTTTTATTTTTTCTTTCTTTCTTTCTTTTTTTTTTTTTTTTTAGAGGTTTTCGCTATAGGGCGTGTGCGCTCACCAGACAGACAGAGAGAGACAGAGAGGCAGAAAGCGAGAAATCACCCCCACACCACAATCCCTTCTCTATTCTCCTCTCAGGATCTTGGGCACACATGCACATGCTCCTGGCGTGAGTTTAAGCCACTGGGTCTGGGACTCGAACCATGGTCGACTATATGGGAGTCAAGTGACTTAGCCATTACACCAACTGCTGGTTGGGGGGAAGATTTCTTACTTTCCCTCTCACTGTGTTTCTCTCTCTCTCTGGCGAGTGTGCATTCACCCTAAGACAAAAACCTCTTAAGAAACAAAACAAAACATTATTTTGAGAAGTGGTCAAATAAATTAGATAATCTATCAATCTCCTGCTACCTCCACCCCCCCCTTATCTTCACCTTGCCTCTTTCCTGAACCCTCTTTTTGATAATCTATTGTCCTCCCACTCAAATATGGAATATTTTTATAATAATAAGCTTTTCATGAAGAGGTTTACTGAAGATGATGCTCAGTGGACTCTTTCTGAAACCTATGAAATTGTTTATTATTTATAAGCAATATTATATAAACAAATTTTGAAAGTGTATTTGAAATACCTAATGCCATACAAAGACTGTCTTCATTTTCCATTTGACTAGGCTTACATGGTAGGTTGAGGAGAGGCTCCTTATAATGGATAAATACCACCTCTGAATGCTTGAAGTGTCTACTGATTGAAAGTAGGGTTTGTTATATATAATTCAACTCCTATTTCTTAACATGTATGTTAACCTTAGAATAAGTTACTTGAATTTTGAATCCAGATAATTACTAAAAATGTATCCCCAGACAAGTGCCACAAAATAGTTTTAATATAGGGAGAGAACTAGTTTTAATATAGGTAAGTAAAATATAATTTTAAATATGATATATTTTAAAAGCATTCTTTAAAACTTGTTTTACATACTACTTTTATTACCTGCATTAGAAGCATTATTTGATAGTGGGGATTTATCTATACTAGTTCCCATAAAAGTACTTTAAAAGTATAAAATACAAATGCATTTCTTACTCTGTGTTTTCAAAGTAGGCCAGTAACATTATTTTACTTTTCTGAAGTAGATATTAAAGGCATTGCAATTCATGATTAAGTTTTCTTATGGGGACTGCTTGTTTTCAGGCAATTCACTTCGCTCCAAAGGAGGATTAGTGTTTCCCCAGATGATCTGCTGTGTAAATCAAGGAAGACCATGATTCTTTAGAGAAGGAATTTTTTCTTGTGAATCCCATTCCTTTTTGAGTCAGTTGCAACTCAAATGGTGTGCTGTTCAGTTGAATTTTTTAAGAACACAGCTCTTTCATTTGATTTATTTATTTCTTGAGAATGTCAATGGAAGACAAACATGTTTTAAATCTTTAAGATCTTGGTTGAAACACTCAGCCCTGTTAACATTTATAAGCAGAAATTAAATATGTATGATCAACTACTTCTCCAAAAATGCAGTCTTCTGGAATGCCCCTGGCTTTTGCCTGGACTTGAAACTTTGAAACAGCTATTCCTCTCAGGATACGTGTCCCTTTACCCTTCCTTTTCTGTCTTCAACAGCATTGTCTGTTGAAAATTGTGGACAGACATAGTGAGTGGTGAATCCCTGGGGGGCAGGTGTGGTATGCCCTATTTGCCTGAGATATTTTTTTTCCCAGTTAAAGAATTGGGTGGTGATGGGGTAATATATTGTATATTGGCTAAGTCAAGGATATTACCATACATGTTAACATCAACAAATAATTTTCCATTTGTTTCTTATATATTTTCTTCCCCCCCCCCCATTCCCTCCCTCTCACCCTCTGCCATTTCCCACACACCTCCCACACTGTCTATGGTATCTACAGTTACTTTCCATGCCTTCTCCTCACTCCATCCCCACATTTTATTAATTCACAAAGGGTCTTAATTAATCTAAATACTTTCAATAGCAAGTGCAGCTGATATAAACACATCTATGAACATATCTGACTTTAGGCATAAAACTCAGTGAGTAGAATGAATATATTATTAAGAGGCACCTGGCTGAGGTTATGTAGCTTATTGCAGTCATTAGATAGGTATTTTTTAATGTATTTTTTTAATTTCAAGAAAAGCAGTTTTAGCTTTAATAAATCAAAATAAAAAAATGTTAAGAAAAATGTGCTTAAGACTTATAGCTAGGTAAAAGGTTAGGATTCTGGTAAAATAGTAGATAGATATTAAAAACCCACAAAACAGATATGGACAAAGTTAAAATCTAGGAATAAGCACACTGTAATTTTATTCTGAAACATCTTTTCTCTCTCCATTCCTCCTTTTACCAAAGAGGCATAAACTAACTTGTTTGCACAAAAAATAAACTTAATCTCAATTCGGTCTGTTACTAGCACAAAGCCCCATAAAAATACTAATTGATTAAGGTGGCTTTGCTGGAACCTCAGATTACAATCTTTTAAAAGCCTACCAAGGCTGCTGAGCCAAGTCAGGCACTCACTACATGACTGTGCCATTAAGTACCTGTATTTGACAGTTTTGTTTTTTTTTTGATCCTGTCAGGAAGTGACATTCTTTACTTACCTGTCAGGCAGAACTGTTATGGTACCGAGCAGTCTTTCTAAGAGCTTCTGTTGGCTTTCTTGGGACCTACCTTAGTTCCTTAGCTTTCTGGTCATATCTTCAGAGATGACATTCTAGTCAAAGCCCAGGCAATAACTAGTATTTCCAATTTCTGATGCAAAGCAACAGATATTGTTGAACTTATGCAAATAACCTTTCTGCCACAAAATAAGAATACTCACAAATATTTTCCAATTCCAGAGGGGTCAGGAAGGGAGAAAAGTTTTATGTTTCCATTTTCAAAAAAAAAAAAAAAGAAAGAACAAATTGCTGAACTCACCAGTAACTCAAAATAAGACAAAAATCCTTAAGTCTGGAAAACAAAACATAGAAGAAAATCAGTAATGCTTTAGTCAAAAGTCATGAAATTCTCTTTCATTAGTTCAGTCTTATGTAATGAATCTCTCTTCTGTTGAATTTGCAGTGTTACCATGGTCTGATCCTTCTGTTTAAATTCTGCAAGTTAACATTCGCTATTATTATTGACCTTTCTGGACTTGTCCCTACCATTGAGTTGGCACTTTTCTTGGTTGTTTTTTGTCCTCTTATTTCTGCATGTCTGTCTTTAGTTTTCCTGGTATAGCACTCCCTTCAGAACTTGAAGAGCTGGTCTGGTGTCGGTAAATACTTTCAGGTTTTGTTTATCTGAGAATGTTTTGAGCTTTTCTTTTCATGTGAGGATAATCTTGCTGGGTATAGTATTCTTGTTTGAAATTGTTTTTCACTTAACACTTTGAATATATTTTCCCATCTTTCCTTGATTGCATTGTTTCCAATGGGAGGGCCACTGTTGGCCTGATAGGATATCCTTTGTAAGTAACTTGACATTTCTCTCTTGCCAATTTTAGAATCTTGTCTTTGTGGTTTCAGTAAAGCTGGCTATGATGTGCCTTGGAAAATAATCTTCTTTTGGGTTGATTCTTTTTTTTTTTTTTTGAGAGGTTTTTGCTATAAGGGCACGTGCACTCTCCAGACAGAGAGACAGAAAGTGAGAAATCACCCCCCAGAGTGGATGGACACACTGCAATCCCTTCTCCTCCATTCTCCTCTTGGGATCTTGGACACACACACACACATGTGCGCCCGGCGTGAGTTTTGAGCCACTGGGTCTGGGACGCGAACTGCGATCGACTACCTGGGAGTCCAGAGACATAGCCATTACGCTAACTGATGGTCCCTGATTCTATGTGGAGTTCTTAATATTTCATGGGTTTGGATATTTGAATGCCTCTCTAGGTTTGGAAAGTTTTCTTTCAAGATTTCATGGGCTAGATTTTCAATGCCCTTATTGGTTTCTTTACCTTCTGGGATACTGATTATCTGGATATTTAGGTGTTTCATGGTATCCAGTATTTCTTGTATATTCTCATTTTGGGGGGCTATTTTCTCAGTCTCTTTGGTGATTTTTTTTCTAGGTCAGAGGTTCCGTCTTCTCTATCTGAGATTTGATCCTCCTGCATGATCTAATCTTCTTTTAATACTTTCGAGGGAGGTTTTGATTTCCTGTATTACAGCCTTCATCTCTAACAGTTCCATTTGATTCTTTTGGATGGTGTCCATTTCTTCTTTCAAATCATGGGAGAATTTCTTCACTTCCTGGAACCCATTGTCTCTTTTCTCTTGCGTCTTCTGGAGTTCATTGTTTCTCTTTTCTTACATCTCTATTAGTTTTGTCTGGATGAATATTCTGAATCCTTAATCTGACATTTCCATGAGTTCCATTGTACTGTATATGGATGATGAGAGGGTTGTCCTTTTTCCTTGGGGGAGAGATATTTTCTTGGTTTCTCATATTTCTTGTTCCTCTGTGGTGGTTTCTTGTCATCTGAGGGATTTTATGTTGTTTCCTAATATCTTGGAGTTAAACCTTGGTGTTCAGAGGTGTGCAGGAGTAGGTGATCTGCAATCTCTCTGCAGCTCTGTTTCTCTGACTCTCATCAAGCAACCTGTGCTTTTGTCATTGGAACTGGATATTACAAAGGCCTACTAGTTTCTAGAGAACAGGTGCATCTGGGCTGAGCTGCAGGGTTTCAACTGAGAGTTCAAAGGTATGCAGGAGGAGATGCTCTCTCTGTAGCTCCATCCTTCTCCCTTCTGCTCACTCTGCAGTCTCTCTGATTTTGGGTAGTGGTATATTCACATTTGGTTAATTTGTTAGAGGTTTCTGCAACTGTAAGCTCACGTGTTTCCTTTTATGGTGAGATACTTCTGTGCTGATTTGTCTCCTCTACTGTGTTTTGCAACGTGGTGTCCACAGAAAGAGATTTGTGTTCAGATTTATGAAGAGGAGTTTTTCCCTCTGTGCAATGGTTCAGTGGGAACTGAGGATTTCTCTGACCCTAAAAGTGTTTATATGTTTGGCTACTGTGCACCTAGACCTGTCTAGACACTGTGTGTGGAGGCTGAGCAGCCAAGTGAGAAGAAAGGTCAAAAAAAAAAAAAAAAAAAAAAAAGGAAAAGGAAAAGAAAAAGAAAACAAAGGAGATAAAAGAAAAAAAAAAGCAATTAAAAAAAGAAAGAAAAAAATTGTAAAGCAGAAAATGAGAGGGGCAGACCACAGCTTGGATGTAGATGGGTTCTGAAAGGGCCTGTGTTTTGCCTGTCCAATGTGGGAGAGGAGGAAAGGTGAGGATTAGTAAGATAAAGGACAGATTAGAGAGGACTTTAAAAATTACTTTAAAAATTAAGAAAAAATTTTTTAAAGAGTGAGAGAGACAGAGAAGACAGAGATGCCCTACTTGTCTAGATTTTGGGTTCTGGAGGGTGAAGTTGGAGCAGAAAATCTTCAGTTTCCCTAGTCCCTGAAAGGGCAGAGCAGAGCACGGATGTAGATGGCTTCTGAAAGGGCCTGTTCTTTGCCTGCCCTAAGTTTTTGGGTGAAATTGGAACGGGAAATCTTCAGTTGTCTCAGTCCTCGAAGGTGCTTATTTATTATCTCCTTTTCAACTTGTTACTTTCAGTCGGAGAAAGGGTACATGTTGTTAGTTTGGTTTGTGACTATTGGGTTGTCAGAAAAGTTTTCGTTTTTTCTATGCAAAATGCGTCATGACTTTTCTGACAACCCAATAGTTTTCTCAGTGTTGTAGGATTTTCCCTTGGATTATAATGTGCGTGACTGACTTAAAACTTAGTCTTTGTGACTACTGTACATTTCTCTTACACTTTGGGAGACTTTAATTTTTTTTTTTTTTAACCAGCGTGTACACATGCCAGAGAGACAGAGAGAGAGAGAGGAGAAAGCACTCCTTCCCCTCATGGGGAATGGTCACCCTACAATCAATTTTCCTACATCTCTCCCTCTTTTGGGGATTTTGGGCATGTATGATTATGTGCCTGGTGTTTCTCAAGCCACAAAGTCTGGAACTTGAATCCTGGGGTTGGCTTTGTGATATCCAGCTGCCTTAACCACCAGGCCAGAGTAGGCCTGGATACGTTCAAATGTATTATTTTCCTATTTCAATGTGCCATGTAAGGGATTTTTTGGCACATTCATTTATATTGTTTTACTGGAAGTTTACCCAAAATAAATGTGTTTACTCAATAAATTGACTATGAAAACTTTTGGTTTGTTTCACCAGTTAGATTCCACATCACTTCTCTCTGAGGAACAGTTAAAGTGTCTTCTGGATGAATGTACATTCAAACAAAAATCCATCATTCGACTTTCTTCAGAAAGAGAAAATAAAGACCTTGAAGATACAGTACCTGAGTTCCCGCAGCTTTCCAGAACTATCCTCTCTAAGTTATTAAATAGATCAGAAACAAATGTACATAAAACTGAAGTAGAAGATGCAAATATGCTTGAGAGTACAGAATGTGAAGTTTCTAAAGGCTACTATCTCACTAAAGCTTTGAGTGGGCATTACCTGTCAGAAGCTCTTATCATTGAAGCAGAGAATATGAAATGCCTCCAATTTTCCAAGGATGAGATAATTAGTGACACAGAGGACTATTACATGTCAAAGACACTTGGCATTGGGAGACTGAAAAGGCCCTCTTTCTTGGATGATCCACTTTATGGTATCAATGTGAACCTTTCCTCCGAAGACCAGCATCTGCAGCTCAGCCCTCCAGAGATACCAAAAACGGGTAAGACTTTACGAACACTTATTTTGTAAAAAGCATCTAAATTATTATGGTTTAAAGTAGAGTTGGATAAGAAGGTATGTTTACAAGTCATAGATGTTGTCAAAAATATCAGACAAACATAACGTATTTATCAAAAGTTTTCAGGAGATCAAGGTTGAGATTAGTACTCTTATGAAATACATTATTCTTGATGGTAATTAATTATGTTATCCAGAAAACAACATTGACTTCAGAGGAAAATGGAAATTAGTTTGAATGGAGGTAAATACTTTGAATAGGTTTATTTGGTATTTTGTCTTCCAAACTTGTGATGAAATTTGTTTTAAGGATTGAATTTGTAAAATGCCATAACTCAGTGAGGTTATTTTAGTTTCTGTATGTAAACTTCTTATCTTAACCCACTCTATATTCTTAGGAATTTTGTTATGATCTTATATAATATCTTATAATGGTGCAGAATACAAATATTAGGGTCAGTTTTGACATAAATGAATACTCATTTTTTTATTTTAAAATTTTTTAGGAGAGATTTTTTGCTATCAGTATGTGTGCTCATGGAGAGACAAAGAGAGACAGACAGAAAGCAAGAAATTACTCCCCAAGGAAATGGCCAAGCTGCAGTCCCTTCTCCACTTTCTGCTCAGGACCTTGGGCACACACACACATGTACCCAGCGTGAGTTTTAAACTTCTGGGTCCAGACTCGAACCTTAGTCTGCTACGTGGGATTCCAGTGATGGAACCACCACCCCATCTGCTGGTCCCAATACTCAGTTATTTATCTATCTTCAAAGTCTGTCATAATTGGCAAGTCTATGTAAAAAATTTGATCTTCTATCTAATACAGATTTACTCTAAAATATATTGCCTATTAAATCAATATCTATTCATTTATTCCCTATTAGGGGTCTATAACCTATTAATTTTGAATTAACCCCTTGTCCCATATTACTGACTGCCTGCTGGATAATTCCCAACTAGATGGAGTTCTGATTTCCTCACCTTTCCCTCTCAGCTCAGACTTTCTTCTTGACTTCCGTTTCCTCAATCAAAATCTGAGTTATCACTTTTCCTTTTATCTCTCTTTTCCTTCACACTCTTAATCTTCAAGTATTGTTTATTTACTCCTCCAGTGTGTCTTTTGCCCGTCATTTTTTTTTCTTTACCAACTATTTCAGCTGGACCAATACAATAGCCCTCCCATCAGACCTCTGTGCCTTGTCATTCCCCTTGACCCCCACCATCATTTACCAAAAAGTGCAGCTGTTATAACCACATTACCCAGCTCAAAAATCTCCCGTGCTTTCCACTGCCTATCGAGTGAAATCTAAATTCTTTCAATGACTGTTCAAGGCTTTCACATTCTGACCTGAAGTTCTCTTCCTATTCAGTCTCTTAACTAGTTGCCTAAATGTTATTCAGGTTACAACTAATCAGGTTTCAGGATTTCTAGTGCTTTCCTGCCCCAGCTCAGGCCCTTTTCTTCCCTGGAATGTTCAGGTTCAGGAATGTTCAGGAATGTTCCCCTGGAAATGATAGTTTAATTCCAGACTCATCCTTTCTGATTGTAATTTTCTTTAGTTCCTGTTAAAAGTTTTATTTCTCGGGACCAGCAGTTAGCATAATGGCTATATTGCTGGACTCCCATGTAGTCGACCACGGTTCAAGTCCTGGACCCGGTGGCTTAAATTCACGCTGGGTGCGTGTGTGTGCGTGCCCAAGATCCCAAAAGGAGAATGGAGGAGAAGGGATTGCAGCATGGCCATCCCCCCTGGGGGCTGATTTCTCGCTTTTTGTCTCTCTGTCTCTATCTGTCTTTCTGGCAAGCACACATGCCCTATAGCAAAAACCTCTCCAAAAAAGAAAAAAACAAGTTTTATTTCTCTTCTAAATGTTCTAGTACAGTGGTTCCCTATAGGATCATTTTATATACACTGACTTTGTTACGTACATATCCATCTTTTTTTCCTTAAAATTGTGTAACTTTTTTAAGAATAGAGATCCTATCTTGCAATTTATTGTTGTATCTTTGGTGATATTCAAAATACTGCCTTAAGCCAAGTGCCTGATTAATAAATAAAATAATTTAAATTTATATCCTATTTTAGAATAATATATTGAAAATAGGGTTCACATTTATGTCTGTCTGTCTGTCTGTCTTTCTTTTTTTTTTTTTTTTGGAGAGGTTTTTGCTATAGGGTGCATGCACTTAAACCAATTTGAGTTTAAGTCACCGGGTCCTGGACTCAAAACGTGGTCAACTACATGGGAATCCGGCGATGTAGCCATTATGCTATCTGCTGGTCCCACATTTTTCATTTTTAATGAATGAAAGCAGGTAATGTTTAAGAATTATGTAAATTTCAAATTTCTATATAAAGATTTGAATTTAAAAAATAAATTTCAAAGTAACAATGTTTTAAAAATTAATATTTTAATGAATGAATCATAATTGTAAAATAAGATGATTTTATATATACACATGCACATATAATATGAAATAATTAAATCCAGTTAATAACATATCCATCACTTTATCACTTTTGTGATAAGTCTTTTGAAATTTGCTCTCAGTTATTATTTACTGTAGTCAACCTGCTATGCAGTAGATCTCAAAATATATTTTTCTTTTCTAACTGAAACTTTGTGCTCTCTGACCAAAAACTCCCTGTTTTCTCTGCCTGTGTTCCCTGCCCCAGTCTCTGGTGACTATTATTCTATTCTCTACTTTAGTGAGTTTAATTGTTTTAGATTCCACATGTGAGAGCATATAATATTTATCTTTCTGTACTTGGGTTATTTCATTTAGTAGAATGTCCTCCAGATGAATTCATGTTGTCACAAATGACAGGATTTCCCTTCTTTTTAAGGCTGAATAGTATCCCATTGTGTACATATATCACATTTTCTTTATCCATTCATCCATTGATGGATGCTTAAATTGATTCCCATTTGGGCTATTGTGAATAATTCTGCAATTAACATTGAGTGTGGCTATGCCTTGGACATATTGATTTCATTTCTTCTGATTATCTACCCAGAAGTGGGATTATTGGGTTACATCTAGTCCTGTTTTTAGTTTTGATCTGCAGTTTTCTGTAATGAATGAAATAATTTACATTCCTTCCAAGAGTATATGACAATTTCTACACATCCTTGTCAACAACTGTTGTCTTTTATCTTTTAAAATTTTTTTATTTATTTAATTTTACCTTTTATTATTTTAAATTTGCTCTAGGGTACACACACTCACTAGAGAGAGACAGAGAAAGAGAGAGAGAAAGCAAGCCACCAGGTCTGGAACTCAAACAGTGGTCGGCCATATGAGAGTCCAGTGCCCCACCTACTATGCCACCTACTGGCCCTGTCTTTCATCTTTTTGATAACAGCCATTCTAACAATTGTGAGGTGATATTTCATTGTAGTTTTAATTTGCATTTCCCCACCCAATGAATAGTGATACTGAGCATTTTTTCATTAACCTCTTGGTCATTCGTATGTTTTCTTTTGAGAAATCTGTTCACATCTGTTGCCCACTTTCCCACTTTCTCCCACAACCGCCCTAATCAGTTTCTTTGTTTTCTTACTATGGAGTTGTTTGAGTTCCTTACATATTTCGGACATAATCCATTATCAGAGTCATGGTCTACAAATATTTTATCCTATTCCATGAGTTATCTCTTTACTTTGCCAATTGTATCCCTTGTTGTGCAGAAGCTTTTTTTTTTTTGTCATCTCAGTTGTCTATTTTTGTTTTTATTGCTTGAGCATATCAAAAAAATCATGTGAAAGATTTCTTCTTTCTTCTAGTAGTTTTGTAGTTTCAGGTGTCATATTTAAATCTGTATCCTATTTAAATTTTATTTTTGTATATGGTGTGAGATAAGGATCAAATTTCATTCTTATTCATATAGATATCTGGTTTTCACAACATTTATTGAAGAGACTATCTTTTTCCCATTGTATGTTCTTGGAGCCTCAAAATCAAATGACTATAAATGTAATGTATAGGTTTATTTCTGGCTTTTCTAACCTGTTTCATTGTACAATGTGTCTGTTTTATGCCAGTACCATGCTGTTTCATTACAATCACTTTATAATAAAATTTGAAATAGGGAATATGATGCCGTCAACTTTGTTCTTTTTACTCATAATCATTTTGGATATTTGGGGTCTTTTGTGGCTTTATACAAATGTCAAGCTTGCTTTTCCTCTGTCTGTGAAGAACGACATAGGAATTTTGGAAGGGATTGTATGTTTCTGTGGCTCACTTTGGGCAGTATGGACATTTTAACAATATTAATCTTCTGATTCTTTAACATGAGATATCTTTCTATCTATTTTTGTTTTCTTAAATTTCTTTAATCATTGTTTTATACTTTTCAGTATACTAGTCTTTTATGAACTTGATTAAATTTACTCTTAAATATTTTCTTTTCTTTTTGGTTGCTATTATAAACAGGATTATTTTCTTAAAATTTTTTTTGGATAATTTGCTTTAGTGTGTGGAGATGCTATTAATTTTTGTATGTTGATTTTGTTTCCTGTATCTTTACAAATTTAGGAATTCTAACAGATTTTCTGGTATAGTCTTTAGGTTTTTCTACATATAATATCATGTAGTTTGTCAATAGGGACAGGATGCCTTCTATTTCTTTTAGGATGCCTTTTAAAAAAATTATTTATTTTATTTATTCATTTATTTATTTTTTAATTTGACCAGAGAGAGACAGAGGGTGAGAGTGAGAGAGAGAAAGTGAGAAAGCAAGCCACCAGATTCAGGACTTGAACCCTGGTCAGCCATGTGGGAGTGTCCAGTGCCTTAACCACCACGCCACCTACTGGTCCCCTAGGATGCCTTTTATATCTTTCCCTTGCCTGGTTGCTCTGGCCAGGATCTCCAGTACTATGTTGAACCAAAGTTATGAGAATGAGCATCGTTGTCTTGTCACTGATCTTAGAGGAAAAACTCGACTAACTTTTCCTCATTCAGTATGATTGTTACTGGGATGACTCAGCCTGTGAGGGTCTCCACCTGGGGAAGGGGGGCCCTTGGCATCATGCAGGAAAAACTTTAAGAGTGAGACTTTGAGAGAGAGTGAAGTGAGGTTTATTAAGGAAAGTGTACAGTGCAGACTACTTCATAGGTGGAGCAGCCCCATGAAGGGAGATGGGTGAAAAGTTTTGCCTCCTTCGCAGGTGTATAGGATCAGGGAATAAGACTGATGAGCTGCCACTGCCCACTGTTTCCCTGGCTACAAGCCTTGAGAGGAAGAGGGACTGTTATTTGAAAGGAAAGAGAGAAGGGCTACCTCACAGGCAGGGCAGTCTGGAACTTTGGTAGGTATCTGGCTTATATGGCTTGGCTTAATATTAGGCTAAGCAAGGGGTGGCTTATTTATGGCTTTTCAGGAAAGTGACAGGTTTTTTTTGTTTGTTTGTTTTGTTTTTGGAACTACTGTTCCTCACCTCCCCCACATTTTTTTTCATTATTTGGGTAGTTCTGAGTGTTGCCATGGTTATTGTAAACTGTCATGGTGCAGGTAGGAATGTCATTTTACATGCTAATGTAGTATAATGAAAGTATAATGAGTTTAAAGATTAGGCTCTCTCTTGGTTCCAACTGGTTCAGACCCAGTCTCTCAGCCACCTCCTTTCTGTCAGGTTTTATTGTTTTATTGTAGGTGTTTGGAATGTCTCTTACCTCAGACCCCTCCTGCCTCATAATGTTGGCTATAGGTTGGTCATATATCCTCTTTATTGTGTTGAGAATTTTTATCTGTTGAGAATTTTTATCATGAAGGGTGTCGAATTTTGTCACATGCTTTTTCTGCATCTACTGAGATTATTTTTGTGGTTTTTATTCTTCTGTTAATGTGATGTGTCATGTTTATTGATTTGCACATAATGAACCATTCTTAGATCTCAGCTTTAAATCCCACTTGATCATGGTGAATGATTTGCTAGTATTTTAGTTTGCTAGTGTTTTGTTGGTTTGATTTGCTAGTATTGTTTTGTTAGCATTTCGTTGCGTATGAGTATTTGCTTTGCTAGTATTTTGTTGGTTTGCTAGCATTTGGTTTGCTAGTTTTGGTTTGCTAGCATTTTGTTGAGTTTGTTAATATTTGTTTGAGAAATTGGTTTGCTAATACTTTGTTGAGTATTTTTGTATCTATTTTCATCAGGTATATTGGCCTGTACTTTAAGTTTTGTATAGTGTTCCTTTGTATAGGTGTGGCTTTGACGTCAGAGTAATTATGGCCTTGTAAAACGAGTTTGAAAGTTTGCCTCCATTTCAATTTTTGGAAGTGTGTGGGAGGAGTTTTATTTTTCCTCTCAATATCTGGAAGAATTCAATTGTGAAGCCAACAGTCTTGGATTTTTCTTTCTTTCTTTATCTTTTTAATTTTTTAAAAATTAGTGAGAGAGATGAAATTCAGTTTTATTTTGTCCTTTCTGAACTACCATTTATATTGTGGCCTCATCTATCAAAGATGAGGAGTATTCACTTCAGCAGCACATATACTAAAATTGGAATGATACATAGAAGATTAGCATGATTCCTGCACAAGGATGACACACAAATCGCGAAGCATTCCATATTTTTAAACAAATACTATTTATATTCAAGTTATTATTTAGCTTGTTATAAAGGTATAATGTAAAAGTCTGTGTTGGTACCTTCAGTTAAACAGGTGATAATTTTACCTATTTAAAATAGTTACCTTTTAAATGAAAACAAAAACAAAGACAAAAGCGAGAGAGAGCAAGAGAGAGAAAGAAAAGCCGTCTTATGCCTTAGAATTCAAGTACTCAGGTACTTAATAGAGGCAGCAGGATATATATTTTTCCAGTTTTTTGGCTCCAAGAGATTATACATTCTATATTAGCGTAGTGAGGAATCACTGGCAAACTGCTGGAAATGTCTTGCATTAGTCAGTGTAACATTTCATAAATTGCTTCTGGAGTTAAAAATCTGTCAAGCTGTCAAAACTGTCCACACTTTTGCAAAAAGGATAAAAGAATCCCAGTGGGATTCTTTTTCACTGAGTCCTTCCCAGTGGGGCCTCATTTTGGTACCACTGCATTAACCTTCAAGGCACTGACCCTTACGTCAGGCAGAACCTCCTGGCCGCTCTTCAGACAGTGGATTTTAATTTGGATCCTCTTGTAGGGTTTCAAAACTATCTTTGGAAATAAATGGTTTCTTCAGAATTCTTATTCCACCAAGCTGACTACAAAATACATCTTCCAAAAAATTGTATGGGTGAAACTGTAATTCCTGGGTTAAAAGTTACTCTGGCTTGCTCATAGTAGAAAAGCATCTGTCTGACCTCTAGGTTTGGAAAACTGTCACAAAAAATGTGCTGTAAAATAAATGATAGTGACCTGAAGCAAAAATGTGAAGGTCCACTTTTGTGTTTGTTCAGAATATCTGGTGAGGTATGGGAGGCATATGAAAAGCTTAAGGAAGAGACAGGATGTTCTTTAACATTATCTTGTATTTATTCTATTCTTTGAAGGATACAGTCATTAAGAATCCACCAAAAATGAACATAACTAGAAAGTCGGCTGTTTTATCTTGGAAAAAGTCTTTTAGTACTCAACAGTAATGATATAGAAAAATCACATTAAGTAAGAAATTGAATCCAACTGGCCCAAAAGAATAAGAAATTGAGGATTAACCTTCATATTAGAAAGTATTTAGAGATTAATTCGGGATTGAAGTGCAACTAAAAATGTGATCAGTTTCTACCGAACAGCAGTGTTAGTAGGGATGCAAATGGTAGCATAGGTACGGCTGACTGGTGGTAGCTGCTGGGTTTTTCTTTGACTGGGTATTTTATTACTGATTCAATCTCCTTGCTCACTATTTGTCTGTTCACATTTTTAATTTCTTCATGATTCAGTTTTGACAGGTTGTATGTCTAGCAATTTATTCATTTCTACTAGATTATACAATTGGTATATAATTATATATAGTTGTTTCTTATTATCTTTTGTATTTATGCAGTATCAGTTGTAATATGTCCTCTTTCATTTCTGATTTGATTTAAATTTTCTCTTTTTTCCTTGACTGCCTAGCTAAAGGTTTGTGGATTTTGTTTATTGTTTCAAAGAACCAATTAAGTTTTGTTTTTCACCCTATAGTCTGTCGGTTTCTTTCTTTCTTTCTTTCTTTCTTTCTTTCTTTCTTTCTTTCTTTCTTTCTTTCTTTCTTTCTTTCTTTCTTTCTTTCTTTCTTTCTTTCTTTCTTTCTTTGTTTCTTTCTTCCTCTTTCTTTTTCTTTCTTTCTCTTTCTTTTCCTTTCTTTCTTACTTTCATGAGAGATAGAGAAAGAGAGAGATAAGTTTCTTCAAGAAAACCACACACTGTGATCCAGCCCAGCCTTTCCCATCCAGCCAGGATCACGTGTAACCCAGAGTACTAGGACCCAACACCTGATCTTCCGTAGAGCGTGCGGCATTGCCGAGCATTGGCCACTGCTGTGCCACTGTGGCTGAGTCATTTTATTTAAGTTTATTTATTTATTTACTTTTATAAGAGAGATATAATGAGAACATTTTTATCTGATAGCATACAAGCAACCAAATAAATAAATAAAAAAGAAAGAGAGAGAAGGAAACAGAGAGACAGAAAGTGAGAAACCCCCCCCCCCCAGGGGGATGGACATGGTGTAATCCCTTCTCCTCCATTCTCCTCTTGGGATCTTAGGCACACACACACATGCCCGGTGTGAGTTTAAGCTACCAGGTCCAGGACTTGAACTGGATCGACTACGTGCAAGTCCAGCGATGTAGCCATTATGCCATCTGCTGGTTCCCCCGTATAGTTTTTCTAGTCTTTATTCTATTTATTTCAGCTTTGGTCTTTGTTATTTTCTTCCTTCTGCTACCTTTGGCTTATTATTCTTCTTTTTCTAATTTCTTGAGGTTTAACATTAAGTTGTTTATTGGAGGTTTTTCTTCTTTTTCTGATACAGGAATTGGTTGCTTTCAATTTTCCTCTTAGGCATGCTTTTTTGTCTGTATCTTGTAAGTGTTGGTATATTGTATTTTAAAATTTCTTTTGTAACCTATTTGTTGTTTAGAAGCATGTTATTTAATATTCACATATTTGTGAATTTCGCAAGATTCCTCATTGATTTCTAGTTTTATGCCATTGTGGTTAGAAACGATAGTTGATATGATTTCAGTCTTCATAAATTTGTTAAGACTTGTTTTGTGACCTAACATATGATATAGTCTGAAGAATTTTCTGTGCATAGTTGGGAAGAATGTGTATTCTGTTTCTTTTGGATAGAATGTTCTGTTTATGTCTGTTAGGTTTATTTGGTCAAAGTGTAATTCAAGACCAGTGCTTTCTTATTGATTTTCTGTCTGTTAATCTGCTCATTGTTGAAAGTGAGATACTGGAGCTAGCAGGTGGCATAGTGATTAAGGTGTTGTATTTCCATGTGGCCAATGGAAGTTTGAGTTCCTGACCTTGCAGCTTGAAAATCACTCTGGGCCTGTGTGCATGCATGCCCAAAATCCCAGGAGGAGAATGGAGAAGAGACTGAGGCATGGCTATCCTCCTTGGGGAGAGATTTCCCACTTTTCTTTGTCTCTGTCTTTCTCTTTGTTTCTTTCCCTTTCTATCTCTCTGGCAAGTGCACATGCCCTATGGCAAAAACCTAAAAACAAACAGAAACACACAAAAAATAAATTAGTTTTTTGTGTGAGAGAGAAAAAGTACCCTCAACAATATCTGTCACCACACTGTGATCCCCTTTTCCCTAGCCCTCTTAGTGCCTCAGGATTTGAGGTACACATGTGCATGCCTGGCATGTTTTCAGGATGACTTGGGGATCTAATCATACTGTTGCTCATGTTGCTTTCAGCACTGTAGTCCAGTGAGCTATGGATTGTGCCACCTAGGCTAGGCTCAGAATTCTTTTTTTTTTAAATCTTTGATATTTAATAGTTTGATTATAATGTATTTTGGTGAACTTTTTCTTTTTGCTTTTCTGCGTGTATAATTTTAAATGTCCTGTGCTTGAGCTCATTCTTTCTTCTGCTTGATCAAGTTTATTGTTGGAATTCACTATGGATTTTTTTTTTTTAGTTTGATTATTGTATTCTTTATCTCTAGGGTTTCTATTTTTTTAAATTGCTTTTGTTTCGTTAAACTTCTCTCTTTGTTCATGAATTGCTTTCCAAATTTCTTTTAATTTTCTATCCATATTTCCTTACAGTTTCTTGAATTTCTTTCATTGACTTATTCTATATTCTTTCTCAGCCATTTTGTAGATCTCTATTTCTTCAGTGTCCATTATTGGAAGTTTATTAGTGTGTTTTTGTTTGTTTGTTTTGGTGTCCTATTACTCTGATTCTTTGTAAATTGTCTGTCTTTGCATTTATGTCTATGCATTTGTGAAGACAGCTACCTGTTTTGGTCTTCGTGGGTGTTCTTTTGTGGTGATAGATCTTTATTCTTTAGTTTAACCTGGGGTTGTGGTTGCACCAGCTGGTACAACTCTAGACAGGCAAACCTAGATGTTAGATTCTGTATTTGGGCTGGGTACTACCTGTACTCTGAGATTGAGTGGAACTGCTGGCTCTGCAGTCAGGCAGAGTGCTGGGTAGACTCTATGATTGCCTCCAATAAGGGGGGGGTGGGTTTCAGGTTGTCTTTTTCTGGCTAGGCAGAGCTCCTGTTTGTAATCTGTGGTTGAGCAGGGCTTTGAGGCTGGGTAAGGTCTCTGGGGTTGCTGCTTGACCACTGAGGAGGGGCCAGGCCAGAGGCTGTACTTCATAGATATGCTCAGATGCAGGCTTGCCTACAGACATAGGAAAACCTTAAGCAGAGTTCAAAGACTTTGTGAGGTCACCGCTCAGCTTCTGGGATGGGCAGAGCCTGGTGCTCCTTCCACAGGTATTTGTGGACCTACACTTGCATCCTGGCCTGGGAAGCGTTAAGCAGAGCACTGAGGCTTGAAGTTGTTGCTTGACTACTTGGGTCAGGTACGGCCATCCTATGCATATATTCTAGAATCTGTGCCTGTCTCCCAGATCAGGAAACCACTTTTCTTTGTCTCTGTCTTTCTCTTTGTTTCTTTCCCTTTCTATCTCTCTGGCAAGTGCACATGCCCTATGGCAAAAACCTAAAAACAAACAGAAACACACAAAAAATAAATTAGTTTTTTGTGTGAGAGAGAAAAAGTACCCTCAACAATATCTGTCACCACACTGTGATCCCCTTTTCCCTAGCCCTCTTAGTGCCTCAGGATTTGAGGTACACATGTGCATGCCTGGCATGTTTTCAGGATGACTTGGGGATCTAATCATACTGTTGCTCATGTTGCTTTCAGCACTGTAGTCCAGTGAGCTATGGATTGTGCCACCTAGGCTAGGCTCAGAATTCTTTTTTTTTTAAATCTTTGATATTTAATAGTTTGATTATAATGTATTTTGGTGAACTTTTTCTTTTTGCTTTTCTGCGTGTATAATTTTAAATGTCCTGTGCTTGAGCTCATTCTTTCTTCTGCTTGATCAAGTTTATTGTTGGAATTCACTATGGATTTTTTTTTTTTAGTTTGATTATTGTATTCTTTATCTCTAGGGT